TTAAGTTAACTTACTCATTAAGTTAACTTACTCATTAAGTTAACTTACTCACTAAGTTAACTTGCACGCTAAGTAAGGTGACTTGCTCACCAAGTCGTGGAAACTTAGTCGCTAAGTCATGGAAACTTGCTCGCTAAGTTATCTTCATCGTTAAGCTTTCTCTTTTTCTCCTTGGATGTAACGGCCATATGCCTATATATAGGCTATCATCCAAGAGCATTTTACTCCTACTTTCCACTTGGTTTATGGGCACACTTCTAGAGAGAAAAGAGTGAGATTTTCATCATGTTTTAGCCGTTTTCTCCAAAAATCCTATTTCATGAAACTTATAGTATAAGATCCTGTGATCATAGCCTTGGTCTTAGACCATCTATAGGAGTTCATATGAGTGAGATATGGCCACCTTTAGCCACGAGCTCCTTGATGCCTCCTTGAAAAAGGATGGTTTTTTTTAAGTTTGTTCGGTTCTAAGTTGATTTCTGGGTCCCGTTAACCTATCTAAGGTATAAACTCTCAATTTCTGCTGTTAGAATTGTTAAATTAAGCTTCTGTCTATCAATTTATGGGTCTTTTATGAAAATAATTTTTAAGAATTCATATGATCTTGTATGATGGTTTTTATGAAGTTTTAGTGTTTGTATAGGATTTTAGTCGGTAAAAGTCTAAGTTGAACGGTTTAGAAATGAAAAAGGATGGTCTAAAAAACAGGTGTATATTTCGACTATATGATGTAATATTAAGTAAGATAAGATTTTTATAAGTTGAATTAAGATTATTTAAGTTGTTTTAAGAGATAAGTTATGGTTAAGTTAAGTTAAAAGGTAGGAAATTTGTAAGTCTGTTTCTAAGTCTATGTTTCAGATATGTTAGAATTTTCAGTAGAAAGTCTATGTTATGTTAATATGGGAAGTCTAGATGTTTAATATAGAGACTTGTTGGTTGGCATAAATGAATAAGTAAGATTTTGTAAGTATGGAAGATTTCGAACTATGCATGGAAAACTTAGATTTTTACAAGTTTAAGAAAGTTTTGGATTGATGGTTAATGATGTCCATGTTTATGTATTTTAGTTTGGAATCAAGAGAAGTGAGTTAAGAAAACCAGTTTCAAGTATTAAGTATAAGGAAAGCTACTTACAGGTAAGCTTTTGGTTTAAAGAGTTTTCTCCTTTCTTGTTGATCCACCATAATCCAGTGGGATGATGGTTAGGATATCTGTATGTTTGTATGTTTTATATGTCAGATACTTAGTATAGTTGCATTCATGTAGACTATATGATATGATATGATATGATATGATATGATATGATATGATAAGATATGATAAGTATGGTTCTTGATCAATGAACAACTCCGTGGGAGGACTTCGGTTCTCGGAGAATAAGTATGGACTGGTCAAAGTGAGAAATTACGCTTTGGGAGTCTTCTGATAAGTTATAAGTTATGATATGTTTATATGATGTTTTCTATGCTCTGTATCTAACCTTTCATGCAGTAAGTGAACTCATGGGTGGAGATTACTTCCTAAACCCAGAGTCTTATTGGGATTAATTTCTCACTCGTCGTGGGCTATGATTTAAATCACAGGTACATCAGTAGCGGGAGAGCATACTCAGGACAATAGGCCAATGCAAAGTGGCTAGAAGATAAAGTTGCAGTATTAGTTTTATGTATTGATATATGTTTTGGACACATGATTAGATATGATGCATGTTATAGTTGACATCTATTTTGGTAGGCATATGTAGCCTATGAACAAGTTTAGATGTTTGATGTTACTTTCAGTATGTATTTGGTATGAGTTTGATATTCAGTATAATATATGATGTATATTCAGTTTCATCAGTTGTGTATTAATTACGATTATTTATAAGTTATGAAAAATAATTAAGAAATCTGTACAGGTATGAGACTGTACAGACAATAATAAGAGATTCAATAATGAATTAAGCATGACAATACATATAAAAAGAAAAGAAAAAGTTTACTCACCTAATTACACTAGGTAATGGTGAAATGCAAATAAAGTCTTCCGCTAAAGAAATTTTCATGCGCACAAAAGTACCATATGTAAGTTAACAATCTGATTATTAAAATTGGGGCGTTACATATAAACTAGTCCTAAATTTGTCCTGGCTTGCATCAATAAGTGTAATGCCCGGTAACTTGCAAGATCAATGACTGTCTCTACAAACTAACGCGAGACTTTTGAGCATGCTTTGTCCTCACTCACACACTTCCTGGGAAAACTTCCCTAGGAGGTCACTCATATCAGAATTGCTCCAAGTCAAGCATACTTAACTATGGAGTTCTTTCATTCTAGGCTACCGAAAAGTAGATTCATTTTGTTAGTATAGATAGTACCAATTAATTCTTATAAGCTATCCTCAACTGTACCGTCTCATACCAACACTGTCTCTGGAATTCACATCTTTCGGGTATTGATTCAGTTTATTCATGTACCTCAGCAATAAAATTTGGCATGAGCCACTCATTGTCCATGCCTCTTTTGCCAGCCCTTGGCATATTACAATAAGTCTATGAAGATATATAGTTCAAAGGTCATGAAGCCTTCTTACATTTTATCTACTTCTTCAAAAATTATTCCTTTATCCAAGCTGTGTTTACTCAATACAATTGCAAAATATGCTACAACACGATTCTTAAAGGAGGATGAACCGCTACAGCTCTTCTGGGTTTTTCAATCCCAGAAATTGAACTAGAACTATAATACTATTCATAGCATCAACTATCCCAGTTCTTTATTATAAATATGGTTCTTTATTCCTTATTTGCAAATTATTCCTACTCTCTCAATTATCAATTAGAGCTTTTCCACATCATCATTTCCCAATGGTGATTCCTATGTTTGCTTATAGGAGCAATGGCCAATTGCTCTCAGGTGTGAGGAACTATTTCAACACAAAACTTTAAGGTGTTGGGTGAGGGTCTTTTTAATGATTTATATTATTCTTTAACATACCTATCACGCAAGAACCCTTTGGATTTGAAGCTTAGATATTGCACCGGCTCATGCCTAATTTTTTATTTTACCTTATGCTTATTTAATTTCACTAGAAAATTAGAGGCGGCGAGCATTGAATTCGTAACTCGTGGTCATTGAATCTCTTATATAATATAAATAACTATTTTAATCCAAAATCTTAAGGTATTGGGTGAGGGCCATATCAGATGATATCTATTCCATCCAAAATACAATCTCAAATATTAACCGAACATGTCAACAAAAGACTTCAAATTCAATGCAAGAATCAAACAGAAACATTGTTCTCACTTCAAAAGTAAAATGAACTTATCCAGAATTACAAAACCCAAAGTAACTAAACGAATGATTCACAAAGATACTACGCATAATAGAGTCAATCGAGAATGAAGAAGAAAAGAGATGTTCCACAAAAAAGATAGTTGATTTCCTCGAATCCTCTCAAGGCTGCGTTCTTCTTCTTCTTCTCCACTTCATGTTCTCTCCTCTTTTTTCGATACGGTGCTTGCTAAAACCGAAAGAAAAACTGAAAATTAAAAATTGACCAACTAACTGGTCCTTTAGGGGCCGTAAAGGACCGTTTGGTACAAGTTTTTTTCAGGATTCTTGAGACACTGAATTTTTAAATTTTTAATTTTTTAATATTACTGTAAACTGAACGTAAAAATCATATTTTTGAAAATCGAGATTCCCGGATAAAAAAATATTTCTTCTACCAAACGCCCCCTTAGTTTTATGTATCTCCTTCTGTCCGTTCCCTCCACCATTCGATCACCCATCATCCAACGGTTGAAGCATGCTCTATTCTGCTGGGATCTCCTTGCACGTGACATTTTAACTGAAAACACATGCCAAAACCGTTAGCCACGATTATAAGAAAAACACTTGCATATTCATTTTCCTCTGTGTGATTCAATTGATAAAAGCCCACTTTCTTGGACATTCATTAACTTTTTTTTTTTTTTTTTACACAGATTCATGTTTCTCATATTGTTTATCTTTTACACACACTTAAAAGAGTGTGTAATTATATATATTTTTCTCTCTTCTCTTTATATTGGCCCCACACACTTTCATGCTATGTAGCACCGATATCGACACGGACACGATACGACACGACACTCCGACACATTAATTCTGAAAAATGTTAGATTTCGACACGTTAGGACACGTTTTGATATTAAATATTATTTTTAATTTATGTAATGTATATTATATTTAATACTCAATAATTTAACAAAAAAATAAAGTTAAACTTTTAATACCCTTCAATTTTGCAAAAAAACATAAAATATCCCAAATATTTATAAAAAACTAAATAAAATAGTAATCATAATCAACGATCTAATAATTGGAACTAAAAACGCAACGCAACACAACCTTTGAACTTTTTTTTGAGTCTCTACAGCGTGTGTTGGAGTGTCGGGGGTGTCAGAGTGTCGGAAAGTGTCAAACACGACACATTCGAGTTTTGTGTATAAGATAAAATTATCTTCTGCAACATAAAAAACATTAATCCTATTTTTTTAAGCCAATTTCTATAGCTGGTAGACAGTACAAAATGTTGACTAACATGCACCAGATCAATGAGAATAGTCGTTACTAGGATTGGTATACAGTGGTGAGAAATTTAGGTAGTTTGTATGAGATCGTATATCGGTGAGGGATTTTGATAGTTTGTATGAGGTGTGAGGTTCAAATCTCAATTTCCACCACTGTGTTCAAAAGAAAAAAAAAGAATAGTCGCCAAATTGACATCCAAATTTGGTTGGATAACACATTATGTAGACCCAAACATTAAACAAAATATGTATTTATATGTGAAACAACTTTATTTCCAAAAAATAAAATAAAATGTAAAACAACGTAAATTACAAAATATCAGCAATCCACCATGAAACACAAAAAGCAATGAACCATTTTAACTGAAATTAAATACTGTCTAGAAAGGGAAACTAATAACCTATTGCATTATTTATGTGCCACCCACATAAACCCTAATAGTGATGCACATTGCCGCGGTTTTCACCAGCTGCAGCAGCATTGAGTTGCCCAAAATTTTCAGCTACGTTTATAGGCAAGACATTAGCCTCATAGTTGTTCCCTCCATTAACTATCTGCTGCTGCTGGTGGAACTGATTCCTAGCAAAAGTCTGATAGTTGTGATGATAAGGATAGTGGTTAACAAGACTACCACCGCCACCACCCATGTTTGACATGTGGTGGTTAGTGGTGGCAGTGATAGGGACCACGTTCGAGGTGCCAGCCGCAGCAATAAGTCCATGTCCAGTGTTGAAGGCCAAATTTTGATTCATCCTATTAAGCTCATATTGGGCAGTGTAAAGGTCTAGTTGAATCTGTCGAAGCTGATCCTCAAGATGAGAGATGATTCCAAAACAGCCATTCACAGGGTCTCGGAAGCGGATATCAGCTTCATAGGCAAGGGAATCCGCAGCGTCTTTACGCTGGCTAGGTTGCAAATCACTGAGAAGCTTTGCAACATTGCTTGCACCAAAGATTCTGTGAACATGTACAAACTTGTTGGGCTCATTTGGTGGGAAATATGGTGCAAAAATGCACTCAGGTTGGCACTTTCTTCGCAGGAACTTGCATCCAGCACATGGTGAGTTCGATGAAGATGCCATAGTAGTAGCTCTAGATACTGCTGTACTCTTCCTTTTTCTTTCTCTTTCTTCACTGCAACAATAATAGTCACGCCACCATTAATTTGTGTGATTAAACCTTCACAATATTAGTTGTTACTATAATATAAACAAATAATAACTAATGCTAACAAGAAAAAAGAGAGATGTCAACTAATGTGTGTTACATGGCAATCCATCTTTTACGCTACACACTCTTTTCCTTTTCTTTTTTTGTTTTATTAGTTTCTTTTACCCTTTAAACCAACCATACTAACTTGTACCAAAAAAAAAAAGCCAACCATATTAACGATATACTCACACTATATATATATATAGAGTTATTGTTGTACCGACAAACACACAAGAGATAACCTCTGTATCAGTGCACACACATGAGAGTAACTCGAGTACTACGAGAAGAAGAGAAAAGAAAAAGAAAAGCAAAAGTGAACCACACCTATTTCTTTATCTTTCTTTCATTTTTTTGTTATATCTTATACAAACCACACCTATTTCTATATGTTTGCAAGAGATAATTTTTTTTTTTTAATACTTTTAAAACATTTCAAAATAATTTTTTTTTTATCTTTGATAAGTTAGAACTTTAATTCAAGTAAACAAAAGAATAACATATATATTAAAAAAATATAATCATGCTAAGGTTTTTTTGAGGGTATGTGAAAAAACACATTATTATGTGGGAGATTCAACAGAGAAATGGGATTGAAGACTAAAGAAAAAAGTGACAAAAAATTAGGACTGGATCTGCATGCATATGTATAATTGAAAAATCAAAGAATTCAACTTTCAAAACATTTCAAAAGATATCTTTCAAGTAAACAAAAGAAAAACATCTAAATTAAACAAATATATTCAAGCTATGGCCTTGCGGAGATGTGTTAAAATACATTATTATTTGGGAGATTCAAGAGAGAAATAGAATTGAAAAACAAAGAAAAAAAGTGACAAAAAAACAATGACTGTGCATATGCATATAAACTATTGAAAAATCAAACTATTCGGTTACCACCTCAGATTCATATGGTGAGACAAAATCCTTGATCCTTGCGTGTGAGTGGCAAAGAGGTTGAAGAAAATATGGAAGAGAGAGAGGTGATGCGTAGAGAAGGATATAAAGGAGAATATTTGAAGGCGGAGGACACTCTCGTGGGAATGAAAAACCCCAATTCTTTTTAGTTTGGTGTATATATACAAAGAGAGAAAGAGAGAAAGGAATTCGTTGACTCTATATGCATTGAAACAAATAAAATCAAATCAATTAATAGCATTTTAATGAGCCTGCAATTACTGTTTTAAACCTTAAGCTGGCACCATCTTATTACCAAATATATATAGTAATATTTGTCAAAGTCAACGTTGGTTTGATTGGAAGAATCAATCATGATGATTGACATGGTTACAAATTCTTTATGTCAAGATAATTATTTTCCTCTTCTAGATTTCAATGCATCCACTACTATATATGAAGTCATATTTGTGGCATGAATGCAGGGATTGTTTTCTAGCACGGTAGCTCACAAGAGGGTAAAGATGGGTCTGCAAGATTTTTTCTTTTTTTCTTTTTTGAGTAGTGATTTTTTAGCATATGCTAGAGTTTAACAAAGAGTATACATGAGACATGTCATCCTAGAAAACTGTATAAAGCCTTATAAAAATTGATTGTCTTTTTTTTTCCATAAAATTTTGGATGAGGGAGTTATTTTCACTTTAATCGTAGGACAAATCACTGATTTGAATTAAGATTTATAATATAAATTGCTTATTATTGAGAACTACAAATTGAGTGTCTATAGTAAAAATTAATCGAAAGAATATCCCCATTCACCCTCAAGATTAATTCTTAATTGCACTTTTGGTCCCTTTACTACTAAAACATAAAAGCCATATAAAGACGGGAGTGTTGTGCAAATCAATATATGTAAGGAACTATATGTGTGCAAATTCAAGAATAGCATTACACCATCTTATTGTTATTGGTCTGGATTCGAAGTTTATTCCTATTTTTTGGCGATCCGATTCGTTAAATATTAACCATTTGGTTTCTCTTAATGCTGTTAGAACTTAGAAGCGATTTATTTGATTTCTCAATGCAATGAGTAGATAGTGAGGTAAGTACAAAAAAATATGTTTATTCTATTTATCATTATTTCATCATCATATCATATTTATGATTTTAGGATATGAGTAATTATTTTGAAAATTTTGAACGGTTTTGATTATGAAATGCTGAATTTGAAAGAATGAGATTAAAAAAATTCTTTATCCTTATTGGGAACGGATAATTGTTTTCGATATGAAAATTTTGAAATATTTTATTTGAAAAATCAGTTAGAATCCATAGCCATAAGAGATTAACGGTCTGGATGCATCAAGTTATGTATATGGATATTTTATTTGAAAATATAGTTAACGCAAATTAGGGCCGGTAGAAATTAAAATTTGGGACACGTTTTGAGCTCGATTGATTACTTTGGTTATAAGTTTTTTTTTGAAATGTTCTTTTTTTAATCACTAGGGTTATTTTTTCTTTAACTGTATTTATTAATGTTGATTGGTTTGCAATCGATTATTTCCATTTTCGGGAGAAATTTTTTATTATAAAATAATTTAATGTTGAATGGATTGTAATAATTGTTTCCTTTAATTATTAGGGCAAATTCAATTTTAATTATTTCCTTGTTTTAGGTGTATTTAATTGGTCTGGAACCAGCTATCTATTATCCTGGAGAAACTTTTTTTTTTTACAATATCAAATTTGTGACTTTATTACTTTGATTAACCATACTTACACTATTTTAAAATGGTAAAAACTATTATAACCCTGAAATACCGTGATTTTCGACGTCGTTTCGATGAACATTAGACAAAATTATCTAAAATAACTTTAGAAAAAACAAACTTTTTTTATATTATTTAAAGGATAAAACGGAGAGATTAGTCCAATATTTAACGGCATTAAATGTGAACTTAAGCAAACCATATGAATTTTTTAAACTTTTTTTATGCGAAAATTGTATAGAAAATTATAATTACGTAAAAGGGTAACCTTCCGGTTCTCAATTGTAACTTTCAAAATAACAAAACTAAACTCCTACGACAAGCTCCATAAGCACTTTTTTATAAACTAACTATGAATATCAATTCAAAATAAAATTTCTAAAAATATGTATAATGGTAATTACCTTCTAAAAATAAATAAATAAATAAATTAAATCATTCAATGCTAAATTTATTGTTTTTCTTTTTTTACCAAACAAATCACAATCATATTAGCTGCTTCATTTGAACTTTGATTTAATCCTAATTTCTTATATTTCAAATGGTTGCTTCTTTGAACATGCGGGCCATAATTTTGACTAGAGCTGTCAGGATGTGCCAGTCCGTCCCATTTGGCCCTAGCCAGTGTGGGTTAGGGCCAAAAAGCCAAATGAACCTCAATAATCAAGGCCCGCACGAGCCAAAATCCCTATTGGTTAGGGTTAGCCCGTGGGACATCCAAAATTATAATTTCATAATTTTTTATCATATTCAATACATTAAAAAATATTTAAACAAATAAATTTTTAACACACTTTCTTAACATATTTTACACAAAGTATAAATTTTTTATAATTTGTATTTTTTTAATAAAATAATATTTATACACAAATATACAAGTGAAAATGTTAAAAAAAATTTAATATAAGAGAAAATTTAGTTACACTTTTACTAAATTCATTATTAAATGATGTCATCAAATAAAGATTTTCTCATTGGGAGTCATAACAGAATACAACAATGATAGTGGAAAACTAAAAGTAATGATGAAAAAATTATCTTAATACCAATATTGAATAACTGCTTAGTATGTTATATATTTGAAAGTAAAATCAATGATTTTCTTTAACTACTACTGTTACAAAAAAACTTTTTAGTTATTATTATCAACAAAATTACTAAAGTGCATTGTATACAATATGTTTCAATACAAATTTGGATGTATAACATGCTTATGTAAATAAAAAATATTATTTTTATTGATGCGCAGATGAAAATCTCTGTTAAAACATATCACTGCTAAAAAATTCATTTTTGTCTTAAAATATTATGGATGAACTTTCACATGGTTCGCAACACATTTATTTTTCATAACCTTTGATATATTCTATAATCATCACACTAGTGGTGTGTTGAATTGTAGAATACATCCAAAGAGAATGTTGTAAAATATTATGGATGACCTTTCATATTTATTATAGATGACATTTCACATGGATTATGGATGACCTTTCACATGATTCATAACATGTGACTCTTTGTTTTTTCATGACTTTCATGTTTAAAAATGCATCTAAGATATATCCTTATATAGGACTCTTAGCTCATACTTATTTTTATTTTATTCTTTCTTTTATTTTTTTTATACACTTCATTTTTTCTTTCATTCATATTTCACTTTCTCTTATATTCTCCATCGTATTCACAACAATTTTTACTTACATAATTTGAAATTTATATAATTTTTAGTTTTTTAAATAATAAAAGTTTTAAAAAAAATTGGCCCGCAGGCCAGCCCTAACCCAGCCAGCTATATTCAAGCTATGGCTTTGCTTGCGGAGATGTGTTAAAATACATTATTATTTGGGAGATTCAAGAGAGAAATAGAATTGAAAAACAAAGAAAAAAAAGTGACAAAAAAACAATGACTGTGCATATGCATATAAACTATTGAAAAATCAAACTATTCGGTTACCACCTCAGATTCATATGGTGAGACAAAATCCTTGATCCTTGCGTGTGAGTGGCAAAGAGGTTGAAGAAAATATGGAAGAGAGAGAGGTGATGTTGGAAGTATTCAAGTATGAGTTGTAAAGAAGTACCACATTGGCTAGACATAGACCAAGTAATGACTATATAAGTGCAAAAAGACCCATAAACCTACAGCCTTAAGGTTTTGGGTTGAGATGTGGCGTCGGCCCACTTATTGTGGTTTATCGCTT